ATTCTCTTTTCCCTTTATCGTGACCGTTAAATTGAAACCCGAGATCATCTCCGTTTAGCATGAATAAGCGTCTTATTCACGACGCCCCAGTCAGTCAAGCAAACGTATTTGATAAGCAACACAAGACAAAGTCAAGGGAAACATCACGACTCAAGGGAAAACAAAACAAACTGGTTTCCCAGTCTGTTATATTTCTAGACTTTCACTTCAACAGCAACCAACGAATAACCGGAGCGAACCAAAACAGTCGACTCGGTACTTCTATCAACACAAATCAAATTTTCAAAACCACCGAATGAATGATTTAAAAATTACTTTCCTTATATTATCTGCCTGTTTTTCCTCCAATAGCTGCTGTTTTTCGTCTGGGAATTTCTGGGATAACTTTAAAAATCGTTGCTCTTTAATTAACTTGAGGTTTCGTGTTTGTGTTGTTGTGTCCATTTACGAAAAAGAAAATTGGCCGGAACTGGCAGTGTTTTTCTCGCCTAGTGTCACGCCACTTTCCACCATGCTTTGATCACGTGCTGTAATGTAGCCCGAGCGGGGTTGAGCGGGGTACACATCGGGATACCAGGCGGTGTGCGCACTGGGATCGCAATGCATTTTGGTAGTGAAATTTCCAATTTGGGGGCGAAAGCGTGGTGAGTTGGTGAGTATTTGCAAGCATTTTCCACCTAACACAGAATGAAATGAAATCCCCTCTCTGAATATTGGCTGCTGCTTTTTTTTGGATAACACCATCTGAAATCTCAGTGCCAATTTTGAATAGCACTTTGACAAATTCTAGTTTCAGTACAGGAAAACAAGGGATTTCCCACTGAAATGAAGAAAATCTGTCAACATGTATGATCTGACACTGCATGGCTCCACGTGGCATTGCTTGTTTCTCGACATCAGTACCTAAGAAATAAAAGTTCCGATTACCTCAAACAACTGAATTTTAAATTTTGAAAAATTTAAATTCCTGGTACATTTAATACACTTGGAAAGAAATAAACTCACCATCAAGTTCAGATGTTGTATTCTGGTGGGATGTTGTGCCAGAAGTATCATTTGAGGTTACTGTTGATGACTAAAATATAAGGAAAAAGGGTACAAGTAATATAGTTAAAAATATGTAGGATTGTATGCAAATACTAACTTTCCACCGGGAGGGTTGAAATCAAATGTTTGCATAACACCAGCTTAAACATAATGTAAATAAACCACACTCCTTTCTGCCTGGAGTCATCAGTACTTGGAAAAAGGTGAAGGTAGGAGATAAAATTAGCTTTTACCAAATGACCACTTTAACAACTCTAGGCTCTAGTACATTAGAAGAGATAATGAGCTAGTCACTTACTATGGTTAACAAGGGATATCTGTTCAGTGTCTGCTTTCCAGTTTTTGTATTCACATTGCCAACAGCTAAGTTATTGGAGTACAAATCATCCAGTAGACTTGAAGGTTAAGGTATAATAAACAATCAAGTTTCAGAATTGAGACATTCTCTTGAAGGACACCTTTACTAGAATATACTCTAGTTGAAACAGTAAAAACCCACATTTTCCAACTTAAGTTAAAGTAATATGTTCATCTGGCATAAACTTAGCCCATGGAATCTAGCTTCTTAAAAAAGGTTCTTATTTTTCTGAAGAAATTCTTGACATAATTTGTAGCTTTGCCTTATAGAATTTTTTAACCTGAGATCAGGCTCTATTTTCATTTCTCTTTGTAAATAATAGTTAGCTGAGTTACACCTATTTTTTGATATGGGTGTTAGTGTCTAAAGGATACTCTCCACAGAGATACTGGATTTCTACAGGTGGGTTTGTCTCCCACTTCTCAAGAGGTACTGTAGAGCAGGTTCCCAAATTAAATACTGTTTGAGGTTGAAATACTGCCTCTGCTTTTAAAAAACTTTCCCAGTAATCTTCGGGAGCACCCCCTTTACCTAGCAACTCCATAAGTTTCCCTGCAGCAACCATTTTGAATGCCCTTTGTATACCGATGCCTCTGCCATTCTTTAGGTAGTCACAGCCAGCAGCAATGCATACTTTCCTGAACTCATTCATGCTTAGCTTCAAGCTCTCCAGCACATGGGACAAAACAAAGCATTCGCCAACTCCACTCATGGAAGTTTTGACCATCACCTAACAAATATTTATTGAATTGTCTGGTTGAAAGTAGAGCAACTTGCTGTCTAGGATGGTCTATACAGTACTATTCAGCTGGCTTAGGATTGCACCATTTTCTTTTATAACTGAATTGCTCAAAGCTGTTTGGTGAGCTGACAGTATGGCAGATTCCCAGCCACTGGCTATTTCATTTAACTTTTACATCACCAAAACCGATTGAAGCTATTAAATTTGGGGAATTCTTTGAGGCAATTAATCAAAATTTGGAATTCTTTCGGGCTAGTTTTGAAAGGAAAAAAAAGTGAAGAAAGAATTCATGAAATCTGGTAAAAAAAAAAAAGAGGAAAGAAATTTTTCTGAAAAGGCCAACAACTTATGAAAGTCTTTAAGGGTAAAAGCAATTTTCTATATTTCTTGAGGGGTAAAAGAAAACCTTAGGCCTGAAAAGGGGGAATATTAAGTGCAATGGCCTAAAGGAAAGAAATAAAAAGTGCAAAGGCAAACCTTTTTGCAGCCATATACCAAGAGGTCCGAATCTTCGGTAATTGCAAAATCTGCACAATCATTGCCAAGCAAGAAGGCTATTTGGGCGTCCGACTCGTATGGGGAAACAATATACTTCACACCCTCGGACAAACAAATCTAGGAGAGAAAGGTGATAAGGTTTTTCAACATTTCAGTTCAATATTTTTGTTGTATTAAATTTGTGTAAAATACTTTAAGATTCATTTGGAGGTGAAGGTTTAACTTTATCAAGCACATGCAGTTTCTTGTAGTCTACATAGCTTCACTTTAAACAAAAAGCTCTAGCATTATACGAAAGCCAGGTACTAAATCGATACTAAAAAATAGTTGCAGTAAACGAGCACTCGCGTTGATGCATGTGTAGATATCATCAAATGTTACTGACACGGCTTGACCTCGAAGTCTGTTGGCTTCTTCGCTTGTTAAATTTTCCTCCTCAACTTTGTTTCGACGGTCCTCTCTTTCTCTGTTTAGATCACAATATTTTTTTTTTTAAGCTTAAGGGGAAAGTTTATAGAAATGCAAGTGAATTTTTCAACGTGGAAATATTCTCACCTTTTCCTTCTTTCATCTTCGGCTGCCTTGGCTGGCAAAGGTAACCCATCAAAGACAACAAACGGCCTTACCCCGGCGTTCTTCGCCGTCTGTAGATATCTTTGAAATGTATTACCAAACCTTCAGTTGAAAACAAAATAGCTTATACTTTCGAAAATGAATAGAGACTTTTATAATCGCAAAAAAAACCTAAACGAAATAAAATGATCATCATAACTAAAATTTCTCACCTCTCTCGATTTCCACGTTCAGTTATGGTCACATACAAAGCCCTATGTATCCAACACGAAGCATCGATAGCCGCAGTTTGGCCGGAAAATTCACGCAAATTGACTTTTCTGCTGCAATTTTTCAGAAAAGGCCAGAGACAGTTGATTGCCATTACGCATTCACAAAAATCAGCCCCGAAGAGATGGTTACTCGACCGCGTCTGCATGCAAATGACTTAGATTTCAAATTTCACCCATGAATCAGCGCGATCCCAGTGCGCACACCGCCTGTCGGGATACATTTGAGTTTAGTCAAGGCCACGTGACCAAGAATCGACCAATGGTAGTCCCTGTTTAGTTGAGTGGAAGTCTAGGAATATAACAAGGGGCTTTATTCGTTACAGCAGAGACAGTCCCAGGGACAGTCCCAATTTTCACTTTCCTTCGGTACTTCTTCTTCTCGATCTGGTGAGACAGATTTCTTGGTGAGTACATTGATCTAGCCATTTACATTTCTTAGTTTAAGATTCGAATATTCAGTTTCAGTTCTTGAGATGCCAACGAGGAAATTATAGAGAGAGTTCTTTGTTTCCGGCCTTTCCTTCTTCTCGGAAAGCGAAACGATTTCTTGTTGATGATCGGTGGTAGGGTAAATTAAGATTTCTTTCGTTGCGATTTCTAAATACTGGCAGACTCTACATCAACAAAGATTTTGAGAACTTGATTGCAAGGACAATGGCTACTTTAAAACATTGCAAAGCATTACCCGCTTAAAGGGACAGTGTCCCGATTATGCGCTCGCGCGAGCGTCATCTGTTTTTTTCTTCAAAAGGCAATAGAACTGTCATATTGACTAGACAAGATTTCTTTCCGGACCGCACCGCCGACGGAGTTTTGTTGTTTACATTCTCAAGTAAGATTTTAGACTTTCGAAGAAGTCTTTCGTCTTATTTAAAATTTGGCTAGCGGCACGTAGACTCATCGCGATTTTATCGCTAGCATCGCTAGCAAGGCCGCCTCGCGACCCGAAAATCTCGTTCCGCTTGCTTTAAAAACAGCTTTTCTAATGTGAAACTCGTGTCAGAGGTCAATTGTTCCAAGTCCAGTGATATTTGCCTGATTTGCTCGCGTTCTAGCCTCAAACGTTTGAAAGATATAAATAAAAATGCAATCTCAACGCTATGAATCATCGCAAAGGTTAGTTAAAAATTATATTATGAATTCGTTGCACTAGGTTTTCTTCCGGGGGGGGAGGTACCTTAGGAATCTCTGGGTGGGGATGTGCCGCTGAGACCCTGGAACCCTTAACCTATCCCAGAGCTACCCTATACTAGAGTAAACTCCCCAAATACCCCCTATCCTAGAGTAGCTGTTTTCCACTAAACGACTGAGGTCACTAATAATAAATAATAAATAATAAAATATTTATATAGCGCTTATACTTTTCAGTTCTAAGCCCTTAAGTGTCATTGTCTGAGAAAGTGTTCCAGGGGCCAAAAGTTGTGGTCAACCGATTTGGCTGAAACTTGGTTCAGAAGTTGGGTATAATGAGATATTTCAAAAGCCACTTTGGCTCACTTCTCTGAGTTTTAGTTTTGGAGTTACAGGGGGGGTCTCATTTTTAACCCTTTGAGCACCAAAAATCCAGCCTTCCAGGGGGCAT